CGGAGCAGGCGGCACAGATCATACAGGTGCTTATTTTGCTCTTTCTTTAAGTAACTAAGAACATGAACAACAAAGAATCAGAATACCTTTAGACGTCCCAGAGAGGGCACATTTACATTGTTACAGCAAAAGTAAAGAGCCACTGTGAGGAAATGTTGAATATGGTTAATCTATTTGGAGAATTGTAAGCTGTACTCTGTTTGTAGATGTGCTTTTATTGTATTTTTGTTGAATTAGTTAATTTGCAAATGTAATTATATTCTTGGTCTGTACTTTAAACTGATTTCTAGTAACTGCACACTTTTTAAACTTTTTGCATTATTTTGTAATCTGCCATATGTCTAATGTTGGGGAATGTTCGGTTGTGTAATGTGATAAATGTAAAAAAATCACAAAACACTACAAATAATAATTACAAAGTGGTATATATATACTGCACATAAGTAATATTGCACAACAGAGGTGTATAGTCAGTGTAGCGTATTTGAATGAGTAATTAAGTCCATAAAACTGTGTCTCCCCAGGCCAGCGGAGAGCGAGTCCACCTCACGATTTGCCGACCCGCCAAACCGGCTTCTCCTTCACCGCCTAAATCCAGCTCCACCCGAGACCTCTACTGCCTTGATCACTTCCTGCCTAACCACAGCTGCACCCCGAGCCTTGTGCCCACCACCCTCTCCCGCTCCACCACCCACAGAGTAAGTTGTGTGTGTGTGTGTGTGTGTGTGTGTGGTGTGGTGTGTGTGTGTGGTGTGTGTGTGTGTGTGTGTGTGTGTGTGTGTGTGTGTGTGTGTGTGTGTGTGTGTGTGTGTGTGTGTGTGTGTGTGTGTGTGTGTGGTGTGTGTGTGTGTGTGTGTGTGTGTGTGTGTGTGTGTGTGTGTGTGGTTGTGTGTGTGTGTGTGTGGTGTGTGTGTGTGTGTGTGTGTGTGTGTTGTGTGTGTGTGTGTGTGTGTGTGTGTGTGTGTGGTGTGTGTGTGTGTGTGTGTGGTGTGTGTGTGTGTGTGTGTGTATTGGGTCAGAAAAGACATGATTTAGCATCAACAAAATGCAAGTGTTTAGTGATTTTAAGCAGTTATTTTAGATAAATATGGTTGATTTTTGTTTGGACATGAGTGAACGCTGTACCTGTGTGTCCCCAGGACCTCTCCCAGTGTGTGACCTGTAAGGAGAAACACATCACGGTGAAGAAGGAGCCCCTGGAGTCTCTGGGTATGACGGTGGCTGGAGGGCGGGGCAGTAAGAGCGGGGAGCTGCCCATCTTTGTGACCAGCGTCCAACCACATGGCTGCCTGGCGAGGGACGGGCGAATCAAACGAGGTGAGCGACCCCCTTTAGAAACTACAAGAACAGGAACAATTCAAATCAAGAACATCAGAAACTAGAATATGCAAGTCCTGAAGAAATTGCGGTGGGAATGCTGTATGTTAGTTATGTAAGGGGGGCGGACAGGGCCGGCCCTAGACTTTTGGGGGCCCTAAGCGAGCTTTGGCTTGGGGGGCCCCCCTCACTCTAGCGCGTTCTCACTATAGTGCACACAACACAGAACCAACTTTTGTCTTATGATGTTAGCATGAGCACACATATTGTATAAATAAGCATGTAAACACCGTGGACCTAACATCCTCTAGGGGGGTCCGGCGGCATGCTCCCCCGGGAAGATATTTTTTTTAAATATTGAAATTAAAATGATTAAAAGCATCAATCTGGTGCACTTTGAGAGCAAAATTAAGAGATCTATGGATACATCTCTCAACATCCATATGAAACAGAACTGTAAACAGATTTTATTTGTCTTATATTTTACAAAACACTCCCCTTTTAAACTGTATTCTTGTTTTGTCATATAGTATTTCATAACTGTTTTTCATGTATTCTCTCTGGCTGTCCATCTCATAATGTACCCCCGCGATTCAAAGTAACGTCAACGTAGCTGTAATTTATGCTTTGCTTACATGTTCGCATAACTTGGAAGTTTACTGACATTTACAAACCTTGTTTGCCTGGCGCAAGTGGTGGCTCTGGGGTTGTTGTGTGAGCCACCACTTGAGAATTGTCGTGTTTTTTAAGAAAATATGTTCTTATGTCCATCTTCAAAAACTCTGAGTCCGACTGACAGTTTATTTTAAACATTGTCACAGCTCACAGGATAGGTACCTGTCAGCCAATAAGACGGATGTTTATTTCCATTCAACTCTCTGGTTTGTCTGGTGTCTTGCCTCTGTTGCATTCACTGAACACGGGAAATTACAATCCTGCCGTCCTCTCTAGTGTCATAATGAGGTTCAGGTAAAGCACGGTGAATGTATTATATGATTGACTCAATAATATAATACATGACTTTGAGAGTAGGCAATCTAGGCATATTAACAACAATTAATTAAACATACTTATCACGGCAACGGTGTACTGAGATTATTATTATTATTTATTTTTTTGCTAGGGGGCCCCTAGTGGCTGCGGGGCCCTAAGCTGTGTGCATGTCCTAATTGAGCTGCACGTTTTTATATTTTGACGGCAATGTAAAATGAGGGAGAAGAAGCCAATACAAATATGGGGCAGAACGTACAGTATGGTGTTTTTTAAATATAGATTTTATTATTTTCATGAACTACAATCCAAAGAAAGTGTCAGAGAGGTCAACAAGGATATACATTACATAGACCATGTCAGGGTTCGGATCAATAGTAGCTTAGTGAAGGGTCTTATAGGTAGTCCATTTAAACAGTTTATTTTCAAGTCCTGATTGTTTCATTCCGAGTCTTTCCATATAGAGTATCTCCTCCATACAGTATGTTGTGAATGCTGACTCAAACTACAGCGTCTTCTTCCTCCTCCTCCAGGTGACGTGCTGCTGAGCATCAACGGGCAGGACTTGACGTACCTGAGCCACAGCGAGGCGGTGGGCACCCTGAAGGCAAGCGCCGCCTCGCCCTCCGTCCAGCTGCGGGTGCTGGAGGTCAGCATGGTGGTGGAGGAGCAGGACCGCGACGAGCTGCTGCCCCACACACACGACAGCGACTTCGATGCTAACTGGTCTCCATCGTGGGTCATGTGGCTCGGACTACCCAGGTGGGCACATCTGAACACCTGGGACGATATAATCTGAAATATATGTCAAGATAAATTGTCGCTTGATTAAAACAAATATAACATCAATATATCAGTGCATTAATTATGTCTGTTCAGGTCAACATTCAGGGTTTGTCTTTGAATTCAGCCTGATTGGTTATTTAAATGTTTGGTAGGGTGACATTTTACAGTTAGTTGCAAGGTTTAGTTGCCTAACAGAAATCAAAATGAACAAGAAATTTGATAAAATCTTCCCACGTATGGTGATTTCCTGATTCTCTTTGATATATATCATTATAAACTAAATATATGTTTTGGTTTCAGACTGACAAAACATAACATTTGAACACATTATTGACTATTTTCTGTCACCTTATAGACCTGACGATTAATTGAGATAAAAGGCAAAGTAATGAGTAATGAAAATATTTGTAAGTAGACGTTTTAGGAGATGAATCATCATCTTTGCCTACTCTCTCCCTGCAGCCTCCTGCACAGCAGTCATGAGATCGTCCTGCGGAGGAGCCACCCGGGCAGCTGGGGCTTCAGCATCGTGGGGGGATACGAGGAAACCCACGGCAACCAGGCGTTCTTCATCAAGACCATCGTCCTCGGCACACCTGCGTACTACGACGGCCGCCTTAAGTGAGTGATCAGTTCATCATGTGACTGTCTGTGGCTTCTGTTAGCATGAGTAGCTAGATAAACCGTGACCTTCAGTTGGTGATCAATACTGTAAGAGTGGCGTTATGATAAACCACGAAGAACAACGCACATGTCATCACTATGTAACACTTGCTCTTCTATTGGCTAGCGCTCCAACATATTGTACATCATAGGCTAAGGGGCGGGACAATCACAACAGAGCCGGCCAGCTAACCAATCAGAGCAGACTGGGCTCTGGTTTCAGACAGAGGGTGAAAAGAGGTGCCGCAGCACAGGCAGTATGAAACAAATAAAGAGCTTTTTGAACATTAAAGCATGGAGACATGTAGAGACACTACATACTGATATACACCTGACAATGTGCAGAATAAGGCCCCTTTAACTGTAATGTCAAGCTACCTGCCACGCTGACTGTCTTTTCAAATGTCTTCACATGATGTTCTGTAACAGAGCTGTTTGAAAGGCACCTCCCTCCTCGCTGTCAGGTCCTGTTTATAATCCCCACTGACCTGTCTCTCTAGGTGTGGAGACATGATCGTGGCAGTGAACGGCCTGTCCACAGCAGGGATGAGCCACTCGGCGCTGGTGCCCATGCTGAAGGAGCAGCGCAGCCGCGTGGCGCTCACTGTGGTCTCCTGGCCCGGCAGCCTGGTGTAGCCGCGGCCAAAGCCACACCACACAGAATGTTTCTATATTGGGAACGACCTTGGTCAAAGTGAACTGGTACACACTACTGTACATCCCTCCATACCGGGCTTAATCCAGGACCAAAAGCATCCAGAACTGTAGTAGACCCAGCAGGACCAGGTGGGAACTGATCCAGACTGCTGTGCTCATATGGTCATGTTGTTATCACTCCTGCAGGGGGGACATGGTACTGCAGGCTCTGTGTTCACCTCACCAGGCAGTCGCTGTATTCAGGTGGATGCATGGTAGACATATTAAAGTAAAATTAGCCATGATCCTCCATCACCTAGGATAATGACTTGTAATCATGATGCTCTGCAGCACCATCCAGCTGAATAAGCCTCGGGCCTTATTAGAAAACCTGCCGCACCCTGGGGGGGGGGTCTCGACTGCCCTTAGGCCTCATCACCATGACAACCAGCTGTCCCATCAGCCGGAGTTTTATACATGTGTGTGAATGTGTATACCGTTTGTTTAATAAACATTTCCTTCGAAGGATTAATGGCTCTACAGCGTGCTTTTTATGGGCAAGGGGGAATTGTCTGTTAATGAGCAAGAGGCAGTTTACTAGGATATTGCTGTGTTAAGGAGGCTTTATTTTCATATTTCCAGAAAGAAACTATAAACAGAAAATCATAATGTGAACACGTGCAACCAGATATTTATATAATGAAGCCTCAGGGTTTGTTGGTTTATGGTTTGTCTTTTAGAGTTGTGTTGCGCAGCTTCGCAGTGAGCTTGGTGGTTTCTGCTTGATGAACTGCCTTTTTGAGACGCTTTGAAACATGCCAGGGCTGGTTCTTCTTCGGACGCAGTCTCTGCAAGGAGAACACACCAATCATTATAATACAAGGACAACATGGAGCAGAGAAAAGTCACATTTACTATAAGAAATAAATAAAAAAGATGCATTACCTTCAGCTTTCTCTTTGCTGGGTCATGCACCACTCCATGTCGCCACAGGCTTTCCTGATGAAAATTAGACTAGTTACCATCTACAAAAATAGCAGCAAGTTCATAGATTACTCGAAAAAAATCTCACAATAACATTTCATAACTAGCAAGGTATTGATTCCGTTTTTTTAAAGTGTTGTAATATCTGCCACAAGCCAATGAGAACAGTTACCATCTACACTGTAGCAGCATTTTAACGATTTAGTCACCCAAAACATTAAATGTCCATCAATAAATAGTTCAGTTTTTAATGTGTTAAGAGTTTTGTAATATTTGACAGAAGCCAGGTATAATACAAGGTTACTGGAATCAAGTTTGTGCTGTCCAAAAAGGTAATAATTAGCACACCATGCACAAAGTAATCTCCTGTTTCTCAGTACAATCTCAAGACTCATTCAGCCCAGTTCCTACTATAAACAATTTCCCTTAGTTTCATATAAAACTGTGGCGTAGTGGATTGTGCGTAGGTGTTCGGATCAGATGGGCACAGGTTCGAACCCCACTGCAGTCAACATGTCGCTGTGAGACACTTCACCCCAAATTGCTCCTGTGGGGATTGTCCACAGTATTGAGTATGTAAGTCGCTTTGGATAAAAGCGTCTAACAAGTAACATGTAATGTAAAAAACGACTTCCACCTCAAGAAACAAAACCTTAAAGGAGACCTATCATGCTATATTTAAATGATATAGTGTATGACCATACCTATATAAGGTATATTTATACATTTTATTTTTCAAAATACCAAACAGATCATTTTTTAGCCATGCCTCGTTTCGCTCATTTTCGCTCTTTTCCAAGCCTGTCTTTGAAAATTCTGAGCAGCAGCTGACCACGCCCCCTGCAGAAGAGGGGGGCATGAGCCGGTGAGAGTCACGTTAACATGCTTGCTGTGATTACGAGTGTGGAATAAACATGTCATCTCAGAGCAATGCATGTGTTCAAGCGTATTATCAATTTGATCCAGAGACTGACCCTGAAGCAGCGGAGGTTTTGGTGGAGGTGGAAACATCTCGGTTGCAGCAGGACGTTTCTGAATGGTTAGTTGACAAGCTGTTGTTCCTATTTATTTTACTCTGTTACGATGCGTGCTACTTATTCCGTTCATATTTTGGCTAATTAGCAAGAATGCTATGTGTACAGTTTATAACTTAGAGCTTGTAACGCAAAAACAGCGATACATATATATATTTATAAAGGGAGACATTCATATTTTCAGCATATATACAATGGCCTCATTGCGTTTATTAATAGTTTAGTCCTTTTCTTCCAACATCGTGCAACAACCGTTGGAAAGTTCAATAACTTAGGGTGATAAAAAGTATAACTCCAACAACACCTCAGTTGTCAGCAGTGTGTGTAGTTTCATGTGTTTTTAAAAGCTCAGTTATTGACTTCTTTCTACAGGTGTACATGTGCAAATTGCGCCACGATGCCTTCTGAACGGAGAATGTGTGCTGCATGGAGATACCACAGGTAACATTTTTGATAGCTTCACTAAGTTGTCTGTTTAGAGAATACATTTTTAACATGTCATTCAATATATCTTTATCACACTAGGTGTCAAGACGGATGCAGGAACTTGAGGACTCTATAACCTGTGGTGGACCATCCTGGATTGGAGCCTGTGTGCCTGAATGTGTTCTCCCTGCAGAATGCATTTAATATTTACAGAGCTGAACATGGTGGACTACAGTTGAGGCAAATAGAGCAGTGAGTGGTTTGTTTGTTTTGACTGAAAGTGTAAAACGAATGCTAATATTGTTCATGGAAATAAATACTGGTGTATATGGCTTTATGCAATCTTTCATTGTACATGTACTATTATATATATATATATTATTACACAGCAATGGCATAACACACCCATGTGTACGACAAAAAAAGTCCACATACAACCTTATGCTTTTGAAATCAGAATATTCTTTACCCATCCAAACATGAATAATCACGACACATTTGATATCAACTCTGAACTTTATTGTCAAAATGAACGGTTCTTTGAACCCATAAAAAAAAAACGAAATGTACTTGTATTTTGTATAAATTACACTAAATATTTTTTTTAATGATTTCAGGCGTCACAGGTATCTAGCCTACAGAAGCTTTGTGAGCTGGTGCTGGGGCTTCCTTGGACGCAGGATCAGAGTGGTGATTCCGGTCTGCGTTGTCCTCAAGGAGGCAGGAGTTTCCTGATCCGCAAAATGTCGATGTTGGGTTCAGACAGCAGCCAAATTGAACCGTGTAGCATACCCGGCGATGACCTCGTCCCTGTCAGGTCGCTCATAATGGTGCAGGGTCCACAAAGACTTGGTCGAAGATGAGGTCCATCAAGTTGGCCACGTAGCCTGTGCAATGTTAAAAAAAAAGCACAACAAAAAATGTGGTTTAGATTAGTATATGCATGTAAAAAACTGAAAGTTCTTTCTAATTTTATATTTGTAAATAGTTGTATAATAAATATTTTAAACACTTACGGAATGTGGGGTCAGTCTTTACTGGTTTTGCTCTGCATTCTCCCTTCCTGGCCTTTGGGAACTGCAGTTTATACAGAGGGTTTCCAGGGGATGTAGTGGCTTGTGCACGCTCAGCGTTTTCATTGTAGTGCAGGGCTGCCAGGTACAGTCTTTCATTTCCGCCATGAGAAAAAAAAATGTAAATAATAGCAAAGGATGTACAAAGTGTCACTAATTAGTAAGTATGTGAGGTGCTGGCCTGTAAAGAAGAAAACATAGTTGGAACAAAATCATCTCAATTTAGTATTCAGGATGAGAAAATACTATTTGGATAAATATCGTCTGAAATCCCAAAAGATGGGGCTTAAAACTCTCTATTTAGCAAAGCTCTTTGCTTAGCCTTTTCCAATCTGAGTTAGTTTTGAACCGTAACGTGCATGCTGTGTTTCTGACTCAATACAGATGATGTGTTGGAGAGGGGCTGAGCTCAGTAGACTGACTGTAATGAGTGCTAGCCACTAATTAGCCTGTTGCTAGGTAAGGCCTTGTCAACAACATACCAACGGGGCTTTAGCTCCGTTTTACTCGTGGTGTGTGTCCCCCCTCGCATACATACACACAGTGTTGTATCCTCACACACCCCCATTTATATTCATGTGCGCAAACAAGTAAACACACAAAAGCTTTTACATATAACGCTGCAAAAAACGGCATGTCTCATTAGCGTAGCGTAGCTTAGCTTACAGATCGATGATATCTGATCGTTCTTACAGACTACAATCACAAAAGCTTTTACATATAACGCTGCAAAAAACGGCACTTACCTACAGAAGATTACGTTTGTTATTATAACTTACTCAATATGATTTTAGAGGACACAAAATACTAATAAATAGGAGAATAAATACTTGTGTTATCGGCTAGGGTGTGGCTTTACAGCCTTCACACAGATGGCCATTACGGCAGTATGTCTGAACATGTTAGCAAATGCCTGATAATTAAAATAAAAGACAAAGCAAAGACTGCGGAGCGTACAATATAAAATGTTACAAAAACATATAAACACCTAACCGATTACTATTTGGGTTTGAGGCGACATTGATACGGCAAAGCTACATGCTACATACTACAAGCTAGAGATAGCTTTATCAGGAAAAACACCGCTAAATAAAAACTTACAGCTTCAAAATTGGATGTGTCCTCACTGGCCTGCTCCCGGATGGTTGGTATTGATCCCGGCAATGCACGTGGCCGTGGCTCATTCCCCTGATAGGTGGAGAGTTGACCAATAAGCAGAGCACGTCTCTTTGTGACGTAGGAAAGTGTTGAAATCTGGATCCGTTTTTTTCAGATCCGTTTCAGCCACTTTTTTAGAGATTTGGCGAAGGAGGAAAATAGAGAGGGTTGTGTTTTCTGACACTTGGTGAGTTCCCTGGAACACCGGGGACACATATTCATGTATAAAAGACGTCCAAAGGTGCATTTTGCATGATAGGTCCCCTTTAAAGGTGGGGTAGGTAAGTTTGAGAAACCGGCTCGAGCTACACTTTGTTATATTCCATGGAATGCTCTTAACATCCCGATAGCAATGAATATTTTAAGTGCTTTGACAAAAAATCCATTAAAAAAAAACGTCATCTGTGGAACCCGTAGTACTGTAAAAAACACGATTCATCTGAGCCGGCCCGGCTAAAGTAACTGGATGGCCTACCTGCCTGTCAGCCATCTGTGCACAAATGTATCTCGTGCCCTCATTGGTCATGTGCGCGTTCGTGTGTGTTGGAGGAGGGGCTCTGTAAGGAAGTCGCAGATTTTTTCCGGCTGACCGTGTATTTTCAAATTCTAGCGCACTCGAGCTGGTTTTTCCAAAATTACCTACCCCACCTTTAAGCAAGTAAAACCCAAAGCAAGGTATTTTATATCAAATTGCAGGCCTTACCTTCATGGCGAAGCTCTTCCTACAGCCAGCGTGCGAGCAGCTGAAGGGCTTCTTGCCTTCATGCTCTCCCAGCACATGACTGTCCAGGTTAAAGCGACGAGTGAACGTTTTGTCACAGCCGTTCCTGTTGCACGACAGCATCCTCTTGTCTTCAGAGTGGACACGCAGCTCGTGCTGTTGTTTGAACCAGGCGTTGTTAAACAGCTTGTTGCACTCTCCACAATGCACCTTGACTAAAAAACAAGAAGTATTAAACACAAGTGCAATGTGAGTCATATTAACACTTGCAGCATTACTCGTACCTTTATGTTCTTTTCTGTGCTTCATATATTCTGTCCACGTCTTTCCCTGAAAAGGACACGCTTCATTCTCACAAGGGTAACCTGCAGAAGAGAGTTTTGTTAAAAACACACAAATAAAGGAATCAAATCTTTATGGTTATCAACCAACCTTCATGCACTTTCTCATGATGCTTCAGCTTTCTGAGAGAGAGAAATTCTCTTGTGCAGCCACTGACAGTACAACTGCATTAAAAGATAAAAATATCAGATATTACATCGCCATGGACAGATACTATTGCGTCAGATGTGCAGCTACTCACGGAAAAGGCAGATACCCTAGGTGTTCATCCAGATGGGCTTTCAGTTGGTTCTTCTTGCTGAAATCCTTTCCACATCCCTTATGGTCGCACTAAAACAGAACAATGAGCAACACTACATCACAGTGAACCCAAACCTATGTGTGATAAAGATAAAATGACTATTTGTAGGATTATTTTTACTCGATATAGCCTATCCTTGTGCTGGTGAACCCGAGCCATGTGGTTCTTCATGCTAGTGTATGTCCCAAAGCCTTTGGAGCATTCATCAGCCAGACACCTGGAGGCCAGAGAGGGTAACAGTTCAAAGCAAAGCCAAGGTTACATTTTATTATAACCAGGCATTTAAAATAGGGAACACAGCGGCTTACTTGTGTGGTTTTTCTCCACTGTGATTGCGCTGATGTCTGCTGAGTTGATAGCGAGCGCTAAAGCTCTTGTCACATTCCTCACATGTGAAGGGTTTCTGAGATTTGGGGAAATATATGTCACATTACTCCACTTTCTCATGTAACTTCTTCTGTTTGGCCACTTACCAATCCTGTGTGTTTGCAAAGATGAGCGTCAAGCCTCCATGACTTAGTGAAGGCAGCTTTACAATCTAAAAAAGAACAAACTAAGCTTTTGTGACTTTGCACCCTCTCCCCCATCTTTAATAAGAGATGTTAGACGTTGTGTTTTGGTCACAGACAATGCTATAGTTGTAAAGGGGCAGGACATGTACTGACCTCCAATGCAGCAGCACCATCTGTGCCTAATTTAATTTATTGGGATGTACCAATTAAAGCAGGGACGGGGGTGTCCTACTCCACTGAAACTGAAAAATATGCAAGCATTTTTACTACGACAAATGGATATTCTTTTTTTAGACACTTGTGCAACATATGATATGCTAAGAAGATTTGGGCCCCTGAGTGTAATCCCATTGATACTCAAACGTTATAAATGTCCATGACTCTTTCCTCCACATTGATTGATTCAGGCTCTAAAAATGTCACCTTGGCTCCTTCAGTGTGTTTCCCTATCTGCTGATCTGCTGTGCAGGGAGAGAGGCGACTGTCTGTCTCGATTAATCACACACACACACACACACACACACACACACACACACACACACACACACACACACACACACACACACACACACACACCCACCAAGAATGTACTGCTCTAATCTTAATCTTATCAACCCTCCAATATTGTTTTCTGATAGGTGTGATTTATTGTTGTCAGAAAGTAGACTTCAGTGAGATCCTTTGAGACCAACAAAGCTGAAACTAAATCAACCTTTCTAAGCCTTTAAGCATTCACACACACACAATAAACAAAAAGACCGATATTTCACAACTAAAGATACTTGTGAGGTTTGATGACCAGTAGCTAATGTTTGCTACTGTTATCTTACTTTAAGAACATGATGCAAGACACATTAGTTTGTTTCTTTGGTCACTTTATGACACTATTTCAGCTAAATGCTAAACAATGTCACATTAAAGCTATGCTAACTGTAGCTAAACAGTAGCCACTGTAGCTGCAATTGACAATAACAGTAAATGCTTAAAAAGCTGTATCAGTAGCACAAGAAGAACAGTCATAAACCAGCTAAGTGACTCAGTAACTGACTCATGGAGCAATATATGTCTAAGGTTAACTAACTTTAGCTGCTAATAAACTACTGGTCACACTACACAAGGCAGGTAGTATAGCCTACTGTATTAATATATAGGTCGAACGAAGACTATTTATTTCTTCCTTTAAAAGTTAAAGTCAATCTGAATGCTGAAACTGTCATTTAATTTAATAAGAAACTCAGCTTTTAAACTGCTTAAGGCATTAAAGGTTAGCCTAAATGCTAAAACATTCTGTAAGAATATCACAACTACAGAGATGTCATTGTCAACAAATCAAATAGTTAGCATTGTCTGCAAGACAGCTAAATGAATTTCAACCGTTTTATAAAAAAATGTAATTAGCTATGATTAGCCACATTTTTTATAAAATACATCCATCTACCAGACAGGTATTGAATTGAGCAAGGTACGTCTGCCTGTTTACGAATTCCACTTTTCAGTAAAACCAATTTTTTCTTACATAGACTTGCTTTAGAACCATTCTTAGGTGCTGTTGGAGAAAGACAAAGACACTGACAATCCAATAACACTATCTGCTTGTCCAAACATTGGAGATCACCCTCTGAACCCGTGCCATGCTCTCATGTGAAACCTTTGACTGAGTCCTGTGAATGAGGCCTATTGAGAGCCTGTTGGGTGTTACCTCGCTGCCCTCCCACGCTTCAGGTGAGCCAGCCTGGGTCAGTTAAAAACATTATCAGCCTCTCATCATCCCGTCCCCCCACCTCAGGGCCAGGATCAATACAGCTGGCCGAATATCCACATATATGACCATGCCTGCCCCCTCTCTGATAACCACACAGACTCTATCACCCCACCTATCACAGATACAGCATGCACTCTGTTTGGCCTGCAGCGGGATTTCCTTGAGCCTTTGTCCAACCTCCAGGCCTTTCCCAAACACACACACACATATCTTGTGGACATACACTGTTCACACCCACGATTTCATCACAAATATGAGTTTTTAGACCACTGAGGGCTTTTTTTCCTACACATAGGGGCCTTGGAGGGGGCCAAGAGAACAGATCTTAAAGGGTTTGTTCACCCAAATCATAAAGTAACATTTTCTAATTTACCTCCTTGGTTTTTTCTTTAAACAATTCGTATATTTAGCATCATTTCAGGGGAACTATTGTACTTTTTACTCGACTTTCTTTTTAATTAAATAGTCCCTATGTTTAAACTGACTATATACAAGGTAGGCCTACTTATTAAAACTTTGCGCACAAACCTAAGAGCTAATAAAATATGATGCATAATATAGATTCAATTAATTTAGCTTTAACCAGCCTAAACACAATAATAGCTCAACAAAAAAACAATAATAGGAATAATAAGGGCTTTAAACATTTCCAAAAGCCCTTTACTATTGTTAAATATCATAAATGTCATATTTTAACACTTTCCATTCTGCATACCTTTACTTTTAATATTTGTTGTGATAAATCTGATGCCTTTTCTTGAAATTGAGTATTTAAATATGAGCTTTCGAACCTATAGTCTCTTTTACCATTCATCTTCCACATAACACACTGCCAACCATTTTCACAAGGACTATTACTTATAGAAAATATCTCCAACTAAAGGTAATGCTGAAGTCTGAATTATGTCGATTAACCAATGTTTCTGGAAATTAAAAAAGCTTTTTTAACTGCTTGAATGTCATGAATGTAATCCTTAATGTCCTCAGAGAAATCTCAGACACAATCTAGGCACTAAAACTGGCCTTGAAATAGATATTTGACTCGATAACACTACAGATTATTGTAAAACAACCTGTTTTTTTATATCTGGATGAATCCATCCTTTAAATTAAGTGAGATCAGTGGAAATAATTTCATAAAGTGCCACATTTCCACACTCTTGCATCAGTGGTGTCCACATCCAATTATCTGTTTGTGTGTGTGTGGTTAATGTGTAACACCACAGGTCGATACGGCTGCTGGCTGAGCTGACAGACTCAATCTGTGTGTGTCAAACATGTGTGATTAAAGAGTTCATAGTGCTCCATGGCTTTTATCCACCATCATCTTCCCTCCCTCTGGCCGGCTTTCTCTCTCCCTCTCCTTCTCTGTTTACTTTGTCCTGCTTCAATCAGTAACCTCCATGAGTCAGTGTATCTGTGAAAACACACACACAAAGGGCTTACTGTAGATGTAAAGGCAGGATTATGGTATAAGAAGAATGCTGAAAAGACTTGCAATCCACATATTTGCTCATTTGATCAGTTTTCTACCTTAAAAAATGGGAATACACAGAAATATAGAGGGATTTTTCACCTTATCTCAATACCACAAGCAAGATCCAGATCAATACCAAGGGCTTTGGCTGCCACCCGCTCATTGATTGATTGCATTTTATTTTTCCATCTGTTTTTCCCCGGTTCTCCTCAGGTTGTTGGATACTTATTACTCCGTCCTGATAAGAGTTGTGTACGAGTTATCTGACCTGAGACCTGCAGGGTTATGAAGGTGAAGAAAGACGACCACTGCAGGTTTATCTCAACACCATTGTCCAGGAGGAGATTACATCATCCATTTAGTCTTTCCACTTTAAAAAAAAATGATTTCACTTCCATATACTCCAAGAAAATGCAAGTGATGAACCCACAGAAATGGAATATAATCCTAGAATTGATTCACTGTTGGCCTTCTCGCTCCTGACCACACACACATACATACATACACTTCACGCTGTCAGCTGCTCCCTATCTCTGTAAACTGGTACTAATTCGTGTCAATATTGGGTAAAGTACTGAGGTGCGAGGAGATAACCTATTTGTCACATAACCAGCCAGCCATTCAGCCTTCACTGATTAAACAGCACACATCAAGTGGTCCACACACACACAGGTATGACTGATTGATTTTATATTTGTATCTAGAGGAAAATACTATAAAATGGATATAGGCAACTTAACAATAAAATCATTTTAGCGATATGTCACCTTAAAGGAAGAACTTCTATAACTATTATCTTAATCTAATTCACCAAAAACGACAGAAAGGTTAACAAATGCATGTAATGCCCATGATGGCACATTAATTGCTTTGACATGCTTAAATTGGTTTCAGCAGTGAGTTATTCTGTACATATTCATAGCTATCTTGATTGTTACATACGAATGCAACTTTTTAGAATTGACACAGACTTCCCTTAATGTTTTTATAAATCAACATCTAGCGAGTATTCAGTAAAATATTGTAGATATTGTTTTTATATTAGATTTGGTGTTCGGGTGGGGAATAACAAAATTAAGGACAATGATTATTCCAAGCATGTCCTCGCGCACACTGCCACCTAGTGTACAATCACAGTCACTACCTTGGGGGACCAGACTGTTTTAATCGATATAATTTACTGTGCAGACATCAGCTTAATTCAAAGTCTAACAAAACATACATAAGGTATATGGGGTGCCAGGCATTGAGCATGGCAATATCATTTAAATAATTTCGCCAAACTGGGATCAATAAGAGCATCTCCAATCTGAAGTAACATTTTAAGCAACTCTAGTCCCATTTATAACCAAATAATTGATACTTACAGAATAGTAACAAGTAGTTTACACAAGTCTGTTATGAGAAAAACTGCCCCAAAAATAACTGTAATGTATGTTACCCAATAAAGGCTGTTTTTTTCCCAAGAGGATTACGATATTGACACATATCGCAGCAATGCACTAGAGCTAATTATTAAAGACGTATACAGTAATAAAAAGGCTTTACAGACGCATGAAGAAAGTAAAATAAATACCGTTGAAGCTTTAGTTGGTGAGCCTAGTGCTACTAGAGAACTGGATGTAAAATGCTTGTGCCACGTCACTCAGATCGCCGGTGAAATGTAAAAGACTGTTTGATTTCATTGAGTAATCAAAGGAGTTGGATCATCACCGAGTGACAGCACATCATGACACTTTAAAAAATAAATACAAATGTGAACAGATGACAACTTGACCACCAGTGTGTGTACAAATGTTTTTATTTTCGTCAGCTCTTTATGCCATGAACTCATAGGGGATGGGCTCCAGCAGCTGGGGCACGTTCTTCTTGGTGCTGATGAACTTAGCCTCACGGGGAGCTTGTGGCTGTGGAGACAAGAGGGCATTTCAGATGATGTACTTATAATGATAAAATACATTAGATATGACGACAAATGAACAACCATTGTTGCAAATACAGTCAAAACCCACAATTTCTGTCTTTCCCATTCAGAATTCCAGAAATGTAAATAATATTAGGCTTTAAATTGTAACTGGTTTCAGTTTGATATACACTCCAGTGGATCGTAAATCACTGCCTTCTTAAAAATGAGTTTTTTGAAGACACTTTCATGAATTGGGCTTAATGTCTCACCTGTCTCTTCAGCTCGATCCAGCTGCCGTTCTGCTTGGCCTCCATCTTCCGGGCCTCGTTGGCTTTGACGCGCTGCAGGAAACTATCCCTGCTCTTTGAGTGCTTCACATGCTCAATACGCACGTTGATCCTCTTGGCCAGGATCCTTCCCCTGTAAAGTACAACATAAAGTTAACAACACAAAAAAGGAATGGACATTTCAATTAATGCATTCCTCTCTTCTGTCTCCTCGACACAGACCCAGGTCAAACAGGAGTTTGGATGGGGTGCTTAAGGATGAAAATACTTTTCCCCATCTGAATGACCACTGAAGGACATGAACAATCCAGGTGGCAAAGTGAAAATGGGGGTCACATCCCTCTTATGTTCGAGATAAGGAATCTAAGCATGTACAGCACAATTAGATTGAAGCCATTACGTTCTGAAGGATGGAGGTGTCCAAGTGGTAAACCTGCTGCCTGATGATCTATCCTAAGTACTCAAGGTCAATATCTAACCTCAACCAATAGGTATGGTTAAGAAAATGCTTCCAACCATTTCACCAATGAGAGATCTGTGAAAGAATGATCCGTCTAAAAGTGGCTTGAGACCACAGAGAAACAGAAGGCATATAATCCCCTGCGAGGGTCATGACGCCAACATTGTTACTTGGATTCACACAGAGATACAGATCAACAAATCACGTACACTTAAGTCCTTTGGTGTGCTCAAAGTCACATTAGTGTATACTCTTAGGTATATCCAAAATAAAAATGCCGCCTCCTACTTACTTGACCTGCTTGTTGACAATGATGCCGACAGCATGTTGGGTCACGTTGTACACACGGCCTGTCTTGCCATGGTAGCACTTATGGGGCATTCCTTTCTGGATGGTACCTGTGCCCTGAAGAAATTAAAAACATAACATTTTAACAATAAGCAACACGAGGATCTTCACATAAGAATACTAGGAATATTGAAATGTAGTGTTTTTGTAGTGTGGCCCACAATAACTACGCATCATGTTAAACCATGAATGCATGTTTGGCGACTCAATTCTGTTCAACTTACTGATCACAAAAAACAAAAGTTACTTGTGAACTCATATGCCGAATCTTACCTTGATATCAACAATATCGCCTTTCTTGTAGATGCGCATGTAAGTGGACAGAGGAATTGGGCCTGTGAAGTAAATTCATGCAATTAATGTTTTGAATGTGTAAATAATTGTTACAAAAGCCCAATGTTGTCCTACATCACATTAATAAAAGAGAAATGAACCCAAAGCATGGTAAAGCTTCTGATTCAACAAGTACTCACCGTGTTTGCGGAACTGTCTGCTGAACATGTACCTCGTCCCCCTCCTCTTTCCTCTGGTGTTCGTCATGATGCCTGATTACTGAGAGAAAATGGACATCAGTTAGTCATTATAGAGCCTTAACATTGACCTGTAATGTAAACCTATTTACAAATAGAAAGAGGGAACGTCAATTACATCTATCCATCATATAATCTACTATATGTGAATCTCAATGTGGCACCTGAGAAACTACTGTAATGACAAGTCACACTCAAGTCAGCTGGCACACAGAATAGAAATAAGACCGCTAGTAATTTGACATCTAAGGCAGAAGTGAATTAAATCAAAAGTGGTGCATTATAATATTAAAGCATGCACATAGTGTTTTTGATCCATCACAATGTGGCACTGCTGCTAATTGTAACGACTGGGTTTGAGAAGATATGCTAACGATAAGGCGAGCAACAGACTACATGTCCAAGTAGAGGCAGCACTGTAACGTTATCTGCAGTGTAAAGCACGCCAAATAAATCCGCTTAAAGTTATTTAACAGCGGAGATAACAGGGTTTTTAAGAGGAAAACACTGTTTCTGCTATCGTTTCTCTGTCTACCAGGCCCGCATGGAGAGCCACGCTGCTCGTGCTGCTCACATTCAACGCTAAATATCACAAATGTTACGCTTTTCGACGCACTGTTACTCCACTGATATTTAAGAGAAGAGCTAACACGCATATATGGATGTAACTGTGTAGGAATGATGTGAAAATAAAGTAGAAAATAACAATTAACACGGAGAGGATCTTACCCCCGGTCTCTACAAGATGGCGGGTATGGCGAAAAGAGAGACTGAAAGACCCCAAACTCCGCCTTGTGAAATACTGTCAAGGCAGGCTTCACTAACGCCTGAACAGAAATAATGTGACGTTAACGAAGGGAACAACAGTCGGTCAGCCTTTCACAAATTACAATAATAACTTAAATTCAATTTCCTGTCAATAATTGGTCCTAAATCAGTTCTGATCCATAACATTTTTGTGATTTTCTGTATACTTTGTACGTTGGTGCAAACACCATTCAAAGCCACATGATGCGCATGCGCGAAACTTCAAGAAGGCTATCCTTTATTTTCTCTTGATGATAGTAACTTTAGCCATTATTTTAAAGATTTTTAATATGCCATATTCCACTGAGCTTTTCTCAGAAGGTAAGAAAAGACATTTGTAGTCCTTAAAGCTAATCCACTTAATTATCCTGAAGAAGCAGAGGCGGAAAACAACTAGCAGTGAATGCTCTGGATGTGTAAAGAGAACTGGGACTTTGTTTACATATAAAGTAATACAGAAAATATATTAAATAAAAGTTTCATATTTCAGACTAAATATTTGTTGAGTACCGAATTAGTTTTGATTGTCTTTTTATTCATAATGTTTTTAATAGTGTTACTATTCATGAAGCCCCAAATGGAGCGACTGTCGGTTCAGAAAGTACCCGGATCATCCGGGGCCCTTTTGCTTACAGCGCATGCGCACTAGAGTTTTCCTTAAGCCCCAGGTCAGTCAAATGAAAGGAGAGATTGCAGGGAAGTATTTTGTCTTAAATTAATTTTTAAATGACCTTTTAGTTAAAAACATCTTTATCCTCTGGAGGCTTCTGGAAACTCAACACTCAGTGCTTAAAATACCGATTTAATACATTAATGAATTAAATTAAGAAGTTTAACCAATTCAGATAATGAAATACTGGAAACATTAAAACATAGGATAAAAGACTTCTTTAAATGTAAAGGTAGGTAATAAAATAAAAATAAAATAAATACAAGTTTTCAGCGCATTTTAGAACTTTGAGACCCTACTGATTTAAACAAGTGTTCGTGCTGGGTCGTTTATTTATCTAAAAAAACAGTAGACGTTGATTTACAGACGTCTCTTTACTAATGTAAGTCAAAGGGAAAAAGTATATATTGGGGCCAAAATGACGTCACGGCGGATGTAGTACCACCGTTTGGCCACTACGGTCATTTACACAAATCTGCTTCAACGGCCAGCGCACTTCCTGGGGGCACGAGGGGAGCCAGCCAGCAGCCTAGTTTTGTCAGCGCGCGGCGGTGGTTGAAGATGGCGCTAGCCGAATGGAAATCCTAATGACAGTCTCCAAATTTGCCACTTTTTGTACCATGGTGAGTTCACTACAGCCTTTACACTGATATTATCAAGTCTACGGAATGATACGGAAACAATGTTTGGACTCTTATGGGCGTTTTTACCGTGTTTGATTATAAATAAGAGCAGATAATTCGGTGCTAGCCAAGCAGATTTCATAGCAAAAAGCGAGCAGCCATTCTCGGCTCTGATCTCTATTAGCTTCTATCGGGGACGTCAGATTGGGACTCTTTACTGTTAATAAACGCATACCTTGACGACTTGTTTGGTTTAATATGTATCACAGCGTCTTTGAGAGCAGTGACATTGCACCTGCTGCAGCTGAGGTTCACAGAAGCTAAGTGGCTAACGTGAAGCGATAAAGCTACACCAATCTTACATCCTGCCAACAACTGGGAAACAGCTGGATAATTATTCACTTCACACCGGAAGCCGATGAATCTGCAGTTTGTGGAGCAAAACAGTGGGAAAATAGGCAAAATGTACATGTTGGCCTTTACTACCAGATATTATGTACGCAGGCTATGACGACATGGTTTATCTGCGCAGCTCCATGTCCACTCTGCAGTTTGTTGCTGTCCACAGACTCTGTTAACCCTTCATAAATCATTGAGGGGGAATGCGTTTAAACCTTTATATATACACAGTCTATGGTTTAAACAAACAAACCCCGGGTCCTCTACTAAGGTCAATAAACATCTACGTCTATTTTATTTTTGACAGATGTAATTCTATTATTTCAGCTGGAGTTTTGCATTCAAAACCTTTTTTTGGAAGAGTGCAGAAGAAGTGTACTCAGATTGTGTACTTCTAGTACTACCAGGAATACTCTGTTACAATCGGCATCAAAATATACTGAGTACTTTTTATGCAGAATAGCCCATTCAAGCACCATATATTTTGAATTATAGTATTAACATTATTAGTGCATTAATGTGTTCATCACTTCAATGTTGCACTGTTTTTAGCTAAGATGGCAGATTTGAAGGGGAAGTGAAAATGCTTAAAGCACTGATTAGTTTCATTTTCTATCCCGTGTAACAAACTACCTTAAAACGGCCAAGTTGCTTCCATTTACTTTGTCAAATACTTACTGCTCCAGTTGGTATGTTTTTGTCGTCATTTTGTAGCTCAACCTAAAATATATATTGTTTTAAGATAACAAACGTTTGCCCTGTGTATTTTTAGGGCGCCAATGCCTCTGCTCTGGAGAAAGAGATTGGATCTGAGCAGTTTCCGGTCAATGAGCACTACTTTGGCCTGGTCAATGTAAGTAGATGATGCAAAGTGTTTTTATTCATTTATCGCTACCTGTATGTTTGTCACACGTGATCTGACTGCTTTGCATGTTGTGATTTTTAGTTTGGAAACACCTGCTACTGCAACTCGGTGCTGCAGGCTCTCTACTTCTGCCGGCCGTTTCGGGAGAAGATCTTAGCGTACCGCAGTCAGCCTCGACGTAAAGAGAACCTGCTCACCTGCCTGGCCGACCTGTTCCACAGCATCGCCAACCAGAAGAGGAAAGTGGGCGTCATCCCACCCAAGAAGTTCATCACACGGCTTCGCAAAGAGAATGGTAAGATGGTGCAGAAGACCCTGAAGTACCCACTTAACATGTGTAAAAGCTGAATTGTTCCCTAACGTCTCTCCTGACTTTAATCCGCAGAGTTGTTTGACAACTACATGCAGCAGGATGCCCACGAGTTCCTGAACTACCTGCTGAACACCATCGCAGATCTGCTGCAGGAGGAGAGGAAGCAGGACAAGACCAATGGCCGCCTTGCCAACGGCACATTGGACTCTCAGAACAACAACAGCAATGCCACGCCCGCTCCAACCTGGGTCCACGAGATCTTCCAAGGCACTCTGACCAACGAGACGCGCTGCCTCACCTGTGAGACGGTAAGACGCCTCACTGCTGTTTACCTGGGAAAGTGTAAGTGGCGTTCACAAAACATCTGTGTCACCAGAGTCTTGTTTGAACATGTTTTACTCAAACACTCCTGCTGCAGATTTTAGGGATTATCAAACAAACCCTAGAGAAGCTCGACTCTGTTTGTGCTGCAAAACAATGTTTAAGGTTAATAGATCAATAATAGATTAATACATTATTGGTTCGTTTTTTCAATGGAAGTTGCTTGTTTTTGACACCCTCTTTTTGTTACAGATAAGCAGCAAAGATGAGGACTTTCTGGACCTTTCTGTGGATGTAGAACAGAATACCTCTATCACACACTGCCTCAGGTAAATAAACGGCATGTAGGAGCAGAACTGGATAGTTGATCAACTGAAAATGAGTCGGCAACTATTATAATAAGTTGCTTTCATCCAAAAAGCATTTGGTGGCTCCGGTTTCTTTTTTCAGTTGTTCTTTGGGTTTGGACTATTGGTATGACTTCAGATTGTGACGTATTCTTTCTGTGACTCCTCAGAGGCTTCAGTAACACAGAGACACTGTGCAGTGAGTACAAATACTACTGTGAAGAATGTAGAAGCAAGCAGGAGGCACACAAGCGGTCAGTACACTTATTTTTGCTATGTTTTTAATGTATATGAATGCATTTCTGTGTGTGGTTGGATACTCTGATGTCGTGCCTTACCCTGTGATATGTGTGGCGTAGGATGCGTGTGAAGAAGCTGCCGATGATCCTGGCTCTGCACCTGAAGCGCTTCAAGTACATGGAGCAGCTGCAGCGCTACACCAAGCTGTCCTACCGCGTCGTCTTCCCCCTGGAGCTCCGCCTCTTCAACACCTCCGGGGACGCCACCAATCCCGAGAGGCTGTACGACCTGGTGGCCGTTGTGGTGCATTGTGGGAGGTGTGTAGGTGATCGCACAGCCAGAATACAACACCTTTTTAAAGCAGTCTCCACAGCAACTGTAGAGTCTGGCAAATGCATACATTTTCTATTTATAAAATGCATTTAAACCCATTGGCACGAGAAACACAGTAAATCACATCTCTACGAGAACCAGCACTGTTTGTACAAGGTGTGTCCCTGCTTGTCACAGCATACTGAAAAAGACTTGAGCCCCTTAATAAAGAAAATATATTAGACTTACATAGAGTTGAGAAATGAAGACTGGGGTCCTACTCTGTCTTCTCCCTCTGCGATCTACTCCCAGTTGAGCTCCCTCAGCGGGTTATTTTGGAAACGTATCATGAAATTGATGTCATGATTTTAGGCCAAATATCATCTGGGATTTCAGCACACTTGGATCCATTTGGCTATCGACGTTAGCCTCTAAGGGGAAAGTGAATATTCCTGTGATTTCAAAACTGGTCAGGACTGCCTTTTCTGTTTGCTGGTCGTTGTTTACAATCCAATAAGCAAGGTGAGATGCGATGCCTCATTTGCCCGCCACACGGGCTGTTCAGCTATTTATAACCAAACGTGATCAGGCAAGAAAACGTGGACTTTATTAACACTGCCTACAGATTCTGGATTAATGCATCTGATTAAATGGAGATGCTTTAAGGCAGGGGGGTCAAACTCAAATACACAGTGGGCCAAAATTAAAAAATGGATACTAGTGGAGGGCCGGACTGGTTCAATGTTTATTGCAGAACTTATTGAAATGAACTTATTGCACATATTAAACCTGGAACTAACAAAGCTTAAATGATTGCCTATAAAAACAACATTAAATAATCAGTTGCATTCATTTCTTATGGCTCGATCTGCAGCTTTTCCAGAGTCATTTCTTATGATTACATTTTCCCA